GAATCTATGACAAAGTTGCACCTTTGGCAATCCAGCTTTCCTGTCACGTAGACACTATGTGTGCCTGCCATTTTACACTTAGCTGTTAGGACTTTGACGATGGGGGTTGGTGGGAGTCCCTCAGCACCAACTACTAGTGGTTTCCTGAAGCTGACCTATTGGTAGTATTCTTCTTACACAGGCTCCTCATATGTCCTTGCTCTCCACAGTTCCTACAACATTTCTTGGTACCAGCCTCTCCTGCCATGGTATCTTCCCTGTGTTGAAGTTTCCACCATTGAGCTTTCTTGTGCCCAGGTTTGTTACAGTGCCAGCAAAGTCCCTTAAACCTCTCTGAAAGCTGACTTTTTCTGGCCCTGAATCCTTATGACTGTACCTACCTTCGTACCTCTGTGCTGGATTTAACATGGTATTCGAATTCAAGAGCTCTGGCCATTGCATCCTGCATAGTAGAGGGGTGTGCTTACTTCACTTGTATCTTCAGTTGTGGACTGTCCAAATTGCTCCCTCAGCAACAAATTGAGGACATTGGATGGTGCAGTTGGGTAGGTCTTGTGTGCCATACTTTCAAAGTCCTGTGCCAGCTCTTGCAGGCTCTCCTCTTTAGCACGGACTCTCATCCTAAACCTAGTCCTGTAGACTTCAGACTGATTTTGGGTTACATACCCGAGTTCTATAGCAGCTACCATTGATCTATAGTTGTGCCTGTCATCTGCTGACAACTGTCCAAGTATTTCCAGTGGATGTCCCTTCAGGCTTGTTGTTAGATATACTGCTTTCTGCTCCTCCGTCCATCCATTCATTTCTGCCAGGAGCTCAAATCATTTTCTATATGCTTCCCATGGTGCCTTCCCATCGAATTCCTGTGGCTTCTTTCGTACTAGATCACCCCTATTGCTGACATTCATGTCTGGGATGTGACTTCTGGCAGGACTGAAGATGTCTGTAATAGGGTTTAGCTGCAGGGTCTGGAAGAGGCTTCCCATTGTCCGGGGGTGATTATGTTGATGGCTGATATATCCTACTTGTGTACAAGACAGTAAATCATCCTTTAATGTATTTAATTCACTTTGAAATTTACTCATCTTTCCCATTTGTGTATGCTGGCTTTCTCTCAACTGTTGGACAATTTCTTCATTTTTTTTTCCTCCAACCACTGCTGTAGTCTCTCTTCTTGTTTCTTTTCTTTTTCCTCCAACAACTGCTGTAATTTCTCTTCTTATTTCTTTTCTCGTTCTTCTTGTTTCTTTTCTTTTTCCTCCAAGAACTGCTGTAATCTCTCTTCTTGTTTATGTTGCTGTTCAAGCTGCCACAGTTGCAGGTTTTCTTGCAACTGCTGTTGTCTCTCTTCTTGTTTATTTTCTCGTTCTTCTTGTTTCTTTTGCTGTTCTCGTATTGCTGCCATCAAATCTACTAAGCTGTGGTTTAATTTGCCACCTCTCGTTTCCATCTTATTATTCTTTTTTTTTCTGTCCCACACTCTGACACCAATTTGTTACGTATCTGTGTTCGTTTGTTAAGTTTCCGTAGAAATTCGTTCCGAAGAACTTCAGTGATACTAGTTTATTCTTTCTCAATACAACTTTGCAATACACAGAATTTCCAGAGTCACTTTAACTTAAACACCCGCTACAATTTACAACGATTAACGCACTTTACTTACCATCACTACCCCTCACTTGACTCAATTATTTGTCTCTATATCTGTCTATCTGCGATTCTTCTCCGCTTTATTTGCCGGGCTTATATACTAAAATAGAGGGTGTCTAGAAAAGACTAGAGTTGCCAGGAAAAGGCTAGATCCTTCGAGAATCTCATGACGTGTTACCAGCATCACGTGACTTCCATTGTCGTAACACTATCTTTGTTCTTCTGACAGGTGATGGTCAACATTACATCTTAAATCAGGGTGTTTGTAAAAACACAAACAATACAGAGTGAAATCTATGATGTAATTTTTATTCAGACACAAACAGAAATAGGTACTGACAAATTCAACAAAATGACCTTCTTGTGCTTGCTATTCATATTTTTTAAGTCAAAACCATAATGAAGTCAATGAAATAAAACTTGCTATACAATCAAAAATTTCTTAAGTGTCATAATTAAAGTAAAAGATAAATACTTAATATAAAGATACAACTTACATGCTTTAGGACGTAACAAAACACATATCAAATCTGATAAGATTAGCATCACAGGTTGGCCATTTACTGATCAGTGTGTGTATTGGGCAATATTAATCTTTATCACTGCATATATTTTGGGCTATAACTGTGAAATAGTGAAGTGTTTAGTGTCCAGGCTGTTATAGGTATGATGTGGTTTATGATGGAGAAAAAAAAGAAGAAGAAACATGTTTTTATACTTTATTTTCTAGATGTCAAGGATAGTTAGCTGAACTTTAGAGGCAGTTTTGTACTTGAATAATGGAGGACTTTTCATCTCTATTTCTTTGGCTGGGTTTTGCTGACATCCTCACATATGCACTACCATATGCAATGTACAGGCCGTCAATCTTAATCAGACTCATTGCTACCATATTTCCTGATAATAGGAAGACAAATAACGATTTATAAGCATAAAAAAAAACTGTCTGCCTATTATTGTAACTGAATCCTGGTAATACCCATGACTACAAATCAACACACTATGTACAACATTAAACAATCTACATAACTATAATACTAAACACACATCATAACTGAATCATGGTAACACCCATGACTACAAATCAACACACTATGTACAACATTGAATTTAATCTACATAACTATAATACAAAACAGACATCATAACTGAATCATGGTAACACCCATGACTACAAATCAACACACTATGTACAACACTGAATTTAATCTACATAACTATAATACAAAACACACATCATAACTGAATCATGGTAATACCCCTGACTACAAATCAACACACTATGTACAACATTGAATTTAATGTACATAACTATTACACAAAACAGACATCATAGCTCTATAGGCCATAGTACCATTTTTAAATTCCTTTCTGAATACGGTACTGCATTACATTCCAAATTTAATTAAACCATTTAACTCTCAATGCATTTTAATGAAATTGATATTATCAAGTACATTATAATTCAAAGTTTTATATTATCTATTTAGTATTATCACATCACATGACCTTCGATTTAGAATGTTTTCATTTACGGATTTACCGTACTGTGATAGCCGAAGAAGGGCGTTGCCCAAAACATTGTATCCACAATCATATATATATATATATATATATTAACTCCTTAGTGGTTTGACCTATAACATACTTTATTTTATCTTTTTCAACAACCACTATGCATAATTTCCTACATGGTTTTATACAAACTTCAATTTATATGCAACCATTTATCCATCAGTGACATACGAGTTTTACAGGGAAATTCAAACTACCGTTATGTCTGTTGTAAAGATACTGTCACTAGCTCTTGGCTAGTTTTTTCTTGCCTTATACATATTAGCTTGACAGAAAGTTATATTGAGTTTAGGTTTTAATTTTATACTTTAGTTAATTATGTATTACTTGTGTTTTAAAATTCATATTTAAAGGTTTAATGATTTTTTGCCATCATTTAACGTTCCTTTGCCAAATGTAGCTTTATAATGGCCCACAGGCACCAGATGACATTTCAGCATAAACAATAAAAGACAAAGAACTGAAAAGGGAAATAAAACATTAAAAATAAACTAGAAGTGAAAATGTTAAGACTATTCTAATTATGTAAGTACATATTTTCAATTCTTAATTTGAAACATTTTGTAGCACTGTACATTGATGAATTAGTGATATAGTAGAGAAAATGGAAAATAAAATACAGGATATACCTAAGAAAACTTTTGATATTCATCTAGGAGGTTCTAGAAAGTATGCAAATGAAATGTAAAAACTAAGATAATAAATAGTAATTTTATTTTGTTTGTTTGTTTTGAATTTCCCGCAAAGCTACACGAGGGCTATCTACGCTAGCCGTCCCTAATTTAGCAGTGTGAGACTAAAGGGAAGGCAGCTAGTCATCACCTTCTCTTATTCTCCTTCTCTGACCAAAGAGTGGGGTTTGACTATTCTCCTTATAATGCAATCTCAGCTCCCAATTCTTAAGCATCATCATATTTTTGAGCAGTAATGGGACACAAAAAAATTGACCCACAGATCAAACTTTGGCATGTTAACCACTGGGTCATGTTCAGCCCATTGAAGGTGATCTTGTAAAATGATTCATTTTATACACATTTCTAATGTGTGTGTGTGTGTGTGTGTGTGTGTGTGTACTGACTATACTACATCGAATTAGTAAATGATTATTTTATACACATTTCTAATGTGTGTGTGTGTGTGTACTGACTATACTACATCGAATTAGTAAATGATTCTATTTTATACACATTTCTAATGTGTGTGTGTGTACTGACTATACTACATCGAATTAGTAAATGATTCTATTATATATATGTTTCTAGTGCGTGTGTGTGCATGTGTGTGTATGTATGTATGTATATATATATATATATACACATACATATTGATAGTACTAGTTTGATTTGGTAAATTTAAGATCCTGTAACTTTTTAACATCAAATTACCAGAGTTCTGTACTGATCATCATTAGCTAATCAAATATTACTTAAGAAACCCAAAGAAAGCGGTTTACAAAAAGCTTGACACATACCCAGTTATGATGAGTTCTGTATAGTTATCTGCCCCTGTTCCCCATTCTCCACCAGAAATTGGCCATTCCTTTCAAAAGTAAGAAACAATCAAATCTAGATTCCAAAACAAATAAAACAAAAAACTAATGCCCATTCCAACATATACATTAACAGTTAACATTTTCATGAATCTCTAACTTTTGGAATTCAGAATATCTTTTATTGTATGCGTAATATAGCCTCTGAGTTAACACAATCCTCCACTCTATATGTGATATTGTTATGACAGCAGAAGTTACGCGATGCTTGTAACACGCCATGAGATTCTAGAAGGATCATGTCTGTTCGTGGCGACTCTAGTCTTTTCTACGCACCCTCTATTCTTGTATATAACCACACCAGACAATTAATCGGAACTGGAATAGCATAAAGAGAGATTGAAGATATATTAGATAATTGAGTCAAGTGAGCGGTAGTGACCTTAAGTAAAGTGCGTGAATCGTTGTGAATTATAGAGTGTGTAAAGTTAAAGTGACTGTGGAAATTCTGTGTATTGCTAAGTTGTACTGAGAAAGAATAAACTAGTTTTATTTAAAAAAGGACTTGTATCGCTGAAGTTCTTCAGAAACAATTTCTACGGAAAATTAACAAACAAACACAGATGCAAGAAAGTGGTGTCAGAGAGTGGAACAGAAAGAGAAAGAAAAAAAAAAAAGATGGAAACGAAAAGTGGCAAATCAAACTACAGCTTAGCAGATTTGATGGCAGCAATACAAGAACAGCAAAAGAAACAAGAAGATATACAGCAGCTGTGGCAAGAAAACCTGCAATTGTGGCAGCTCCAACAGCAAAATTAACAAGAGAGACTACAGCAATTGTTGGAGGAAAAAGAAAAGAAACAAGAAGAAAAAGAAAATAAACAAGAAGAAAGATTACAACAGCTGTTGGAGGAAAAAGAAAAGAAACAAGAAGAAGGAGAAAATAAACAAGAAGAGGGACTACAGCAGTTGTGGGAGGAGAAAGAAAATGAAAAAGAAGAGAGACTATAGCAGTGGCAACTGCAACAAGAAAGGAAAGAAGTACAAATGAAAAAGCTTAGTACATTTCAAAGATAATTAAATATATTAAATAATGATTTACTGTCTTTTACACAAGGTGGATACATTAGCCATCGACTTAATCCGCCCCAGACAACGGCAAGCCCCTTCCAGACCCCGCAGCTAAACCCTAATGCAAACATCTTCAGGCCTGTTAGAATTCGCAACCCAGATATGAATGTCAGCAATAAGGGTGATCTAGTATGAGGGAAGACACAGGAATTCAATGGTAAGGCACAC